TCCTGATTACATCGATTGCAAATATTTTACCGGCAAGCCCATGGTGACCAAAAATTTTGGTTTGTGTTTCGCTGCAAAAGAAAAATTTTATTGACACTTTTTGGCGACCACATTTTTCCATTTGGCGACTGAAAAAAAAATTTCAGTCGCCAGTTGGCGCCTGCCAAAAAAAGTTAATTTCGGACCCTGACGGTCATAAATAGGGTTTCGAATTTTTGGTCAGGTCATAAATAGGGTAAGAGTTTTGTGAAGCGGGCCGCACACCCCCACCCAATTTTTCTGGGAGTACCTCCCCCCACCCCGGGGAAAAAATTGGCAAAGAAAAAGCCGAATTTTTTCTCTGTCGTTTTGACTTTCCCTCGCCCCCAATAACTGCATCTGGGTCTCCGAGGATGCCATTTACATTTGAGGCGGCTTCATAGGGGGGAGGGGACGAGGCCTTACTCGGGTACCCGAGAGAAACCCGTCTCCCCCAAGTCACTCTAGTCGAAACAACTTTTCGCTTATTTCTTTGGAAAATTCAGCCAACGATTTTCATGAGAATCGCGAACCCAGACAACCCGGGTGGGGAATTCTCACGCCTCGGCAGATAGAGCCCAAAGTAGAGCAACAACTTTGTCAACTATTTCTCATAAACACTGCGCATGGCTCACCTAACTGGGAATGGCCCAAGGAACTCAGAGAAAGAGGGACAACTGCGGATTTGAATATCATCCATATAAATAATCTCGCCGGGTCAATTCTGGCTCAACCAACAAGGACAGTGCAAACATTGCCCAGGGGAGGCAACGTTGGGTACCCGAGACCATATAACTTGGGTCTTTTTAAAGCCTTATTTTTTTGGTCTTGGGTACACAACACAACTCTCCACCCAAGGCGACTTCATCGATAGTTTTCACGAGAAACTGTTGTTCCTGTTAGGTGAGACAAAGGTCACCCTGTATGATTATTTATAGCCCTTAGTAGATATTCAAATGTGGGGTTCAATTGAGCATTGCAGGGTGATGTTAAAGTCAACATCATTAAGACTGGTGTAGTCCCTCCACGCGGTACCCCCTGGTAAACTGGCCACCTCGGAGTAGCAAGGGCCTCAGAGCTGTGGTACGTAGGGCATCCTGGACATCCTGGACCTTGCCCCAGTAATGGAAAAATGCCCAGGGAGTGAACCCTGACACAAATACCTAACCATGGGTCAACTTGTATGGAGCTGCAGGCTGTGATTCATGGGCGGATGATGGAAATTCGTTCCACAACTGCCAAGACAGGGACAACATTCCATCAGTCAAACAGCCAAAGCCGGTGAAGCCCTCTACACCCGGTAATCACGTACGGCGGTGGTTGCGCGCTGGGTTAGCAGCCCAACCGCATAAAAATTTTCTTGCTGCAGAAACCATTACTACAGATGCAACTCAACTTTTCTATGTGCAAGGTGATTCTTGCCTGGTCTCTGCTTCTGGCCAGATTACTGTTGTCACTGAAAGCCTTCGGGAAGCTGGCAGCACGAGGGAGAATCTCCTTGCACCCAAAAGCAAGGTACGTGTGGAATGGATTTATTTGGGAAACAACACGATCCCAAAGGTTGCCCTCAAGTGGACCCCCCAAGGGTAACAACGCAGAGGAAGGCCAGTGACCGCAGACCTCAAAGAGCTTGCCTTGCCCTGGGCGGAGGCTGAAAAGATCACCAGGTACCGCAAGATCGAAGAGGAGAACTAATGTTGTGATAGCCCTATGTCCCAGCCGGGACGATGAGGATGAGTGAGTGTGAATGAATGAGTGAGCGAGCGAGCGATTGATTGATTGATTGATTGATTAAACGAATGAACCTTTATTATAACCCCAGGGGTACTCCCTTATATGGGATATATAGGTATGTGCGGCCCCTAAGGAAATGGTTTTTCAGCCATTTTGTTCATAAGTAGGGTATCGATTTTGGCCATTTTGGTCATAAATAGGGTATGATTTTTGCACTCTCGTCTTGAATCATTGGGTATGGGTACGTTTTTTTTTTAGAAGAAGCTACTAGTCATCATTATCAATAAGACCTTCGAAAAAAGCCCTTCATAAATTATGTTTAGGCCAACTGTACCAGCCGCAACGGTCATAAATAGGATATCAAATTATTGGTCAGGTCATAAATAGAGTATGGAAAATCGCAGATTTTGGTCATAAATAGGGTAGGGGGTTTGGGAAGAGGGCTGCACACCCCTAACCAATTTTTCTGGGAGTACACCTCCCCACTCCGGGTTTATATCACGGTAAAAATATCAGTTCATGAAAAAAGAAATACATTACATGTAAGATTTTCCATTTACTGGTTTACATATTTGCCTTGTGGGAGTCCGATGCAGAGAACCATTTATTAATGCTTCTCTTGAAGAGGTCCAAGGAGTTCCTCGGGATGTTCGTTCCATTGAGACGGCGCCGCTGTTACCAAAGTCGCCAGTTTTTGGTTTCGTTAGACACAATTTTGAGTGGCGTCGTGAAGGTCAAAGGCCAAAATTTGCAGAGTGAACAGTGTGAGTAGGATATTCAAATGCACAGTTCTTTGAGCTTCTGGCTACTACAGCTTCTGCACCCTTCCGTACAACCGAGGTGTGCTCCGGTACAATTTGTGTCTCCATACATGACGTAAATACCATTCTCGATCTTCATGATCATAATTTATTGACCCCCCTCTACCACTCTGCTCATTTCCTGTGAAGTTCTTCACTGAGGGCAGATCGGTTCGACACTGTACCACGGAAGTCGTAGTCTTGAGGTTTGTTGGACCGAATTAAAGGCTTGCTTATTTTAAATAGGTCATCTGAGGATTCAAACAGTTGAGAACTGTTGTTCCTGGCAGCAGGTAGGCCGCTAGGGTAAGTACTGTTGCGAAAAAACCGTAGCCGACTCTCGGACACTGAAAGGCTTACTTGGCTGTTTAGAGCGAAGTCTTGCTCATTTCAAGTTTCTCTCCTACATGACTGGGGTTTTCGTGATTGCTACTGCAATTACTTCTCGTGGATTAGGAAGAGGCTAGATAGATTGATGAAACTGTTGAGATTTTAGTGTTCGGTAGTAAACTGGCCATCGGTACTTCCGCGTCTGTCTGTGAACACAAATTGCTTGAATTGGATCGATAAGCTTACTTGAAGTTAGCTTAATGATTAGGCATTTAGAGATTGTAATATCTAAAACAGGAATGTGTTCGAATTCATGAATATTGATTTTACAAGTCTTCAGTCAGCTTGGTTAATTTTCAGCGATTTATGACCATAATTATAAGCTTATTCTAATTGTTTCAAAATACAATCATTTATACTTGTGGCTTTGTGTTCTATTTCGTACAGTAATTTTGTACCAGCCAGTGTTTTGGATTCGAAAGTGATCGTTTGTGTTTGATTCCCTCCTCAAGGTCGTTACCGTCACTTCACTTATATCGTGCCAACATTTTTAATCGAGTCAATTTAGTTGTAAGTGATAGCATTTGTTGGCGAACATGTCGATATTCTAGTTGTCTTTCAACAGGTTCGGACCAGAGAGGTCCCAATGACTCACCATGTCCAATAACGGAAGTCAGGTTAGTCCTTATCAATTGTAACAGTTGATCATTTATTCTCTTCATTGCAAAGTTAAATTTTTAAATGAATGTCTAGTAGTGAGCATAATTAGGGCAAAAGTTTGTTTTGTTAAGTGGCGCTGTATTCTGCAATTACTTACCTTTCAGTGACACTAATTTAGCGAATTTAGCGATTTCTCAGAAAATTGCTAAATTACTTAATTAAACTGCCCCAAAATTAAGTGCAACTAAAATAGAATTTATGTATACGGAATTAACTTTGATCTGGCAACTTCACATAGTCACACCAAGGAGCTTAAGTGAACCATGATGGCAATGGCTACAAGAATGCCATCAAACAAATGGTTTAATGAGCAAAACAATGGTTGTGCAAGTGTGTTATTAATCTTTTTATAATACAGCCGGAGCTCTGGTAAGCGACCACCTTGAGAATTTGGAAAAGTGGTCATAACTAAAGCTGGTCGCTGACAAGCGCGGACTCTCAAAGCAACCATGCAATGAAATGATAGGGTCTTCAGGATTGTTTATGAGAACTTTAATGTAATTAGCATAAAGCTTGAAGTGGAAACTGGAAAGTTTCAATCATAAACTTCTGGGAAGCAGCTGGAAATCATCTTGAACTTTCAACTTGAGATAGACTTGCATTGTCAACAAACGATTAACACTTATGTTATATCACTGTTAATTTGACCAAGAAGTATTTTTTTGTTAAAATGATAACTTATGTGAATCAGACTCTAGAAGTGGTCCCTTGCATGAGCTTCAAACAAAGGAAAAGACCAGCTGGTGATTGCCAAGAGTGGTCACAGTGTTTTACAGGAGCGGTCACTTACGAGAAGTTTTCAATACAGATTTCGAGTGACAGTTTAAACAGGGTTTCATAAAGGTGGTTGTAACTTGCACTGGTCACTCATGACAGCGGTCGTAAGTAGAGCATCAACACTGTATTTCTGAGCCATCCTCTGCAAAATGACAGCATGATATGACCCACTGCTAAGTATTTTTACTGAATGTGAATGATGGCAGCTAATTGTTTTTTTGTCTTTTCTTTTGGAATCAAATGATGGTCAGTTATACATTTAGCTAAAGAAAGTTTCTAGACCTGTAGCCATACTGAATAGATCTAGACAATTGCAAAATCCAAAGGTTTAAACTATAAAAAATTAAAATGTAGTTATGTACAAGTTTTTCAGAAATGTTTCACCATAATTTCATATAATCAGGTACATATTGTTGGCAATGGAGTAGGAAGGTCTTTCACACCAAAATTAACTATCTTTACCTCTCTGTTTGGAATTTTACTTTTACTTTATTTGGCTATTCACATTTCATGAACATGACTGAGTAAGGGAGAGAAAAAAAAACAGTAATCACTTCGATTTAGTAGAGCATATTTATGTTGTTCTTTTTACCACCATATTTTCGGGTGCATAAGTCGACCCTTCATGCCCACAAAATCAGTCCAAAAATTTGACCTTGACTTGTACACTGGCCAAAAGTTTAGAGTCAACTTTTAAATCACTCACTCTCTTACTCCCTCAATATCACCCTACTCAATTCTGTTATAGAGCAGTTTTCAATTGAGTGTTGTAAAACCAAACTAATTATGTACCAATTAGACTCAATTGCCTGATTACAGTGTACTTTTGACATTCAATTGAAAACCACTCTTACTAGTGCAATGCACCTTACCATAACTACCCAACAAACTATTTTAGAAGTTAGCCAATTTTGGATTGCAATTTGTATGACAGGAATGCCTCTTGTCATGCAAAGACTGCAACTGAACATGAATGTTGCCCTAAAGTTTCGAGATTTCTATTTTCAGTATTTATTTTTTGTAGCAAAGGATATAGGAACACTGTAAAGAAATACGTGTAAGGAACTGCTTGAAATTTGCTTCGTGTTTATTTGTTGTTGAAGCTTATAGATCACATTTGCATATTATACTCTATTCTGGAAACCCTCGGGAGAAATTATTTTTTTTATATACCATACATTTACCATCCAGAGTACCAAACATTAGTTTGAATCCTCAAAGCTACAGCAGTTAATTTGCATTTCTGGCTTGAAAATTGGTCTTAACTTGTTGGAATGAAATGCCAAGGAACAAGGATTTTAATGGAATTTCAAATATTTCAACTCAGCATTGTTTTTCTCGATCGTTTTGGTGTTCATGCTGCATCAGTTATGATAAAAGCAAACAAAAGCAAATTGTGAATGGAATTCATTATCTAGTTACTGACTGTTTTTTTGTTTTTTTTTCAAGCACTGGTAAGGTGGGTGGGTCACAATGTGGGTCACACACATAACATTACAATATAGCTGTTTATTGTGTTTTGTCTCATGTTTTCATTTAGGTACCAGTGTGGACAGCAGGAACTGAAGTTGTGGGGCGATTTCAATTTAGAGCCAGGACACGAGAGGTAGGTCCTTGATCTGGATGTGACAGAAAAGTACTTTGTTCATTTCATGAATTTTTCCCTGTCTTTCTTTGAGTTGTATTCATATTAGTTGCTTTCAAGTTTTGTCAAAAAAATATCTGTGAAATGTGAAGGTGAATTAATCAACATGACACGAGAAAAATTCTGAGTTCCCGACAGGAAT